GAAGAAGCACCGTGCACCGCGGAAACTGATTTAGATTTTTTATTCGTATTGATCATAAAACTGAGAACTTGTTTTCGAAATCCTGTATTTGTGTATCTGTGTAACAGTGTATCTGCACACAAAGCTGTGTAGGTTAATGTGGGTTGGGGCGTAGGCGCGCCCTATATTGCTGCACATCAAATGCACTCGCAGATAATATATAGGCCTTAATAATGTAATATTGTGGTTTGGCTTATTGTCGCTGCCGAGTATTTAGCCCACAACTACCATAAAAAAGATGAAGAAAAAACCAATTCTTAAAAAAGAAATTTAAAAAAAATGATATATTCTGCAGAGAATACTAATAATTTATCTTCGTTTCGGTTATAAAATGTTATTTGGATTACCTTAAAATCGATGACGAAAGAACTACGACGACGACGCTGCTGCTATGAGTACCATTCCACCATTTTTATATTTCTACGCAGTTACGCATCTTGCCAACTAGTTAAAGTATCTTTTTTTTTCTTCGCTGTATCGTATCGCTGTATGGCCTTAATGCATTTGCGTCGTTGTTGTTGTTGTAGTTGTTGTTATTTTAGCCGTTTTTGTGTCCATCTGTACCTGATTTTGGTTTTGTGGCCGCTGCTGTTATTGATGTACCTTTTAAAAAAAATGCACAGTAGCTGTTGTGGTGTTTATGTACATTTCAGTAATAATGGCTGGGTGTCTGCATAAAATGGATACGCTTAAAGCTAAACGGTTATAATACCGAATAGACCCACCAAAAATGTTCGTATACTATGCAAAGTTTGTTTTCAGAAGAAAAGTACATAGTGGCAATATTATCAAAAAAAAAAAAAATGGTAGAAATAATTTGAAAATATACTAAATTTAACAACATGTTTGGTTGCTAACACAGATGACTAGAACATAGAAATTATTATAATTTAAAATAGAGGAACACAAACTTTTATCTATCGTTCAATACTTATGAAAACGAAATTAAACTTCAAAAGCTGTGTTCTAAATTGAAACTGATCTCAGACGATTTGTCGATAACATTTATCGATGATATCCGTCGATAATATCCATCGATGACATCCATCAATAACATCCGTTGATAACATCTACAATAACATCCGTCGATGTCATTCTCCAAAAATAAAGACGGACTTACTATTTACGGCATATCAGCAAACTTAAGCAGTCTGCAAAGATGTTATTATAAATTACCAAATCCAACTATGAATGAGAACATAATAAATAGTTAAAACGAAGTTGTGCCTATATCAGATATATACTAGTACGTGAATAAATTGTAAGAGAAACGCCATACACATATAAAGAAAGTTTAAAAAACAGGTTAGTGAAGTAGTGATGAGATCATAATATAGTGTCTAAGGTGTAATTGAACGACAGTATCTAATTCTCCTCTGTAATCGCCTTGTATAATCATGGTTATATAGTTACCCCTTGCATATACTTAACTCTTAAATAATCAATTTTTAACTAACTTGCTATAACTGCTATTACATTTAGAGATCTTCCTAACTGTACCCAACATTTCTTTATGACAAATATAAATACTTTTTTCACTTTATTTCCTGTATTTTGAAATAGAACTCCTAGCCTTGGGCTTCATGGTTGAATCTGTTCCTTATGCATGAGGTGGTTTTAGTGGGTTCAAGTCTCACATTGAGGCAGTCAATGGTTTCCAAATACGACCGAAAAAAAATTACTCATTTAATCATTTATAAATGACAGTAACGGGTAGCACATGATATATTAGAGAAAATGTATCATTGTTTTGAAGATTTCTTCTTTAAATGCAGATTTCTACTCTTACATACTGTTCAACCTGGCTCTGCATTAAATATTACATATGCTCAATGTTAGCGACTATGGATTATCGTTAATTATAATGTAGGTACGGCTTTTGTATCAAAGGGTTGAATATTAAAGTGGGCTTATGTTAGTCCTAAGAACATTGGTTTTTTTGACAAATATAATTCGTGAAGATGACAAATATAAAATGGGAATGAAGGCATTATTATTACATATGACTTTAGTTCTTTCATACATCAGAGTAGTCACTTGACTGCTATTTCCTCAATGGTAAATACGTAATAGTAAATGAAAGTTTTTTTCAAATATAAGAATTGTTGAAACTTGTTTTTTGTTTATTCAGAGTTTAAAAAGTTTTTCCCAAAAGATCTATTTTTAAATATAAAAGCACTATTTTTCCAAATGAAAAATAAATTTTTGTGAATTGTTGATTTCCTGTAAACACAATACTTTCTTTCAACTTAAATCTTAAAGTAACAATATTACCCACATTAAAAAAGATTTTTAAATTTTATGGATTAAAAGTATTATTATATATTCAAAATAATTCAAATTTTAATTAAACTTTCTACACATCTACATCTTAATACCTATTTATTTTGGTGGGTGCACAGAATTGTGTTTAATTTTCGTGATAGTAAACCATTTGCGGATGATGCAGCACTTTTTACTTAACTCTTTTACGCACGCGCTTACTGAGTAAAAATATTATAAGACGGACAACACCATGCATCATGCTGCTACCGGAATTATCGCCAATGCTCCATCTTCCATCAACAACAATGCTGACAAGACGGCAAAGTAAATTTGTTCAGAGTCGAAAAAGAGTCGAAATAATAAAAATCCGTACTTGGTTTGCCCACAATGTGGATGCTGGGTATTGATGCTAACTGCAGTAGCCGCAAGGTAGAGTACGAGTACCAAGCTCAAACTCAAACCTACAAACTCAACAAAATAAATGTAAAAATAAATAAATAAACTGCATATAACGTAGTTTAGATATAAACTACATGTGGCATATAGGTAAGTACAGATACGCATCGTACAAATCTTTAGTGGCTTTAAAGTTAATACGTACAAGAGGTGCAGAAATGTTTTGTAAATGCAAGGGATGCGATAAGTACTTACTTGATCGCATCTTTAGTTAATAATAATATTCAGATCTAAAAATTTTTAATATTTGCATGTTAAAAATTAATATAACTAACTAAACAGATTTGTATGTATTGCTTTTGTTTAGCATAATATAGTATATAGGTATAGTACGTAATTGTTTTCTCTAGTACTTCTTTTAAAATTTTATTTAAATGAAATCCTCATTGGTTGAGGATATTTGTTATTTTACTGAATATTTTTAGTAAATTCCTTCAAGTGTTTTCAATAGAAATATATTTTGTTAAAACATAAGTTCACGGTATCTGAATTTGAGAGCTTCAGTATATTGTTAAACATAAATAATCAGCTTAGACGGCTAATATTCTTCAATGATTACATTAAATACTAGTTTAGCGAAGACATGGGCATTTGCGGGAAATCTTAAGTACCTCAATATACAGGGCTATGCTTTACAACAGATAGCTGTTCAGACCAGATAAGATCGCGGGCCAATACAAATCAATGAATAACTTAGGGGGTCGCAGAAAAAAAATACGGCGATAATGTTAGATTCAGTTTTATTAACACTTCATTAATTTATCTTTTACTATTCTATTAAGAGAGAGAAACTGCATACCATGCACTTGGGGACTGCCCGGCACTGATGCATAAGCGGAAGAAACACTTAGTAGGGTGTTTCATAAATCATGTGTAGGAAAGATAGGCTCTATACTTTCTTTAATTAAAGAAATCGGACTTGGAGAAACATTCTAATCTGACTAAGGAGCACAGTAGATCTTTTAGGCCGCAGTGCACTACACCTTTTCACAATAATAAAAGGGTAACAATATTGTATTAGTTGTTGTCATACGAAAAATATCTTATTTTTAATGTTAGGACTTACGACATTGGATAAGAGATTTTTGAACCAGTTGTCAAGGAAATATCTTTGTCAATTAAGTAAATTATTGTTAAGTTTAATAAATTATTTAAAACATTTTAATTCATTTATTTTGGATACCATAAAAATAAAAACAAACCAAAATACCAGAACATAACACAAAAAAATTTACTTAATTGTTGTAGATTAGAAACGTGTCGTATGCCGCACAAAGATTAACCGCAGGCCGCATTAGGTCCGTGGCCAATGGCCATGCTATGGACAGCCCTGCTTTACAATAAACTTTCATTCTGTCTTGGCTCCATTCACTATCCTATAAATAATTTTTTTTTATCGAATTGATTTTATATGCTTTATGGACAAAATACTTTAACATTGACTTTGTTTATGTTCCATTTACTCTCCCATGAATATATATTAATCCTATGGTTAAATTGTTTTCATTTAGTATAAACCTCAAATATATCTTCATTTATATTAATCAACAAATCTTAATGTAGGGGGGTGTGAAAGGGTACAATCATTGCAGTACGTCACTTGTGGAAAAGCCGCTAAATGGTCTTCAAGACGAATGTATTTTATAAATAATATTAATTTTTAGGGGGATGCCAAGTTGCTTTTGTTCTTGGGTCGTTAACTACACCTTTGACGCCGCTGTTGTAGTTTGTAATAATTTATGGA